GCGTGTATCCGGGCACAAGTTGGGCGCCCGAGCGCCTGGACTAACAGCCTAGAAAAATACAAAAAAGCCTAAAAAGGACAGCTTCCTCCTTGAGAGGGGTGACTGTTTTTTGCTGTAAGAGACTGCGCATACTTGTGGGACTGGTTTTTGCTGCAAAAGACTGTGCATACTTGTGCGGCACCAAATGGGTGCAAAGTGCAACTTGTGGTGCACATCTCCTAGTACACTGGTCCACTGCACATGGCAGATGCGCACCAGAAAATATGCCTGCTCTCCCCACTCTTCGTCCACGTTCTGTTCCCCTCCCCCCCCCCCGGCCCCCCGGACGACCACCACCACCGCCCTATAAAGAATATGCTTGTTATCTTGCTTTGTTTGCGACGCCTTGTATTCAGTGGCCGGGTTAATTATGCTTAGACCTCACTGCTTTGCAGGTCTTGCTGTGTAGTTGGGAGCAACGCTAGTGATAGAGCACGTTCTTGACGTATCTCCGTCCAAAGGTCGACAGCCACCTTCCTCTTTTAATTAAGTCGTTTTTGAAGTGCTGAAGGGGCTTGCTGTCTTCACCCGAATAGAATGTCCGCGCATTGCCCGGTCATTATAGCTGTATTTGGGCCAACTTCCTGACCAGATGTAGCGATGATGACCGCACGTTTTATTTCGGGTGAAGATGGTAGGGCTCTACGCATAAGAGATGACATGTTTACAACATTTTTCCAGCACACGAGTTTGTTGATAACGGCTGCTAAGTTTTAACGAATCGGTTCCTATCATTCACTCCTTTTGCTGTAACGGACTTTATGATAATGCAATGACTTGCTGATTCCTGCTGCCGAGATTGTCTGCGAGGCTGTATACTAACCTGTAGGGTTAGTTTTGCCATTTTGTTTGGCTGAGGGCTAACCAAGAGATCCGCCTGTGTGGAAACTCGTGAGGACAGATCTGTAATTTCTGAGAAATACAGACCTGGTACTAACCGAGTTGCTACAGCTACCCTAACTGCCTATAGCAGGCCCGGGCTACCCTAGGACAGACAGGCCCTAAGCGGCCTATACTGCCATACGGTCCTATAGCCTATAGCCGGGTCCAGTAGAGGCCGAGAGGCCGAAACAGCAGCGGTACGGTAGGTCCAGTCAGTCCGGTCGAGGTCTAGGCGAGAGTAGAGAGTCTATAAGTCCTGGGGGAAAATCGATTGGGGACTTTTGGCATGTCATTTTCACATGCAGGGTTTTTGCGGCCAACCAAGTGAGCAGCGCTGAAGACCTACAGYGGCACCTGAGGTTTCAGCAGCCGTGAAGCAGCCATAGCCGCCTACCTGAGACAGCCATAGCTGGGGCTGTACTCAGCGCATCTATCCCCTGGGGATATCTGCGTTGGCAGGACTATATCGGGGCTCTTCACTGAGCACATGTGGGTGCTAGTGCTGCGGTAGCAGCCAGGCAGCCATAGCTGCCTTCTTCATCGTCAKAGTGACTCATCGGCACTGAGAACTACTTCGCKATTCATGATCTGCATCTGGGTGTTTGGCGCTGGCCTCTGGGAGGCTGTTTCAATGCAGMGCTAGACTYTGAGAGGGTGGTAGTGAGTGGAGTGTGTGGTTGTTGTGTGGCGAGACACTGGGTTAAACTCTGGAAYGATAAYTGGGGTTACTTAAGTTGAGTTGGCTTATCATCTGGGTTACTTTCTAATTGTGATCTTCGCAGTGTCATTCTGTGATTGGTTGTTGGGAGTTTATCAGAGAGAGAGAACACGGTGTGTATTCTCCCCATCTGTGCATGGTTGCTATTCTGCTGTTTATCTCTGGTCTATGTGTAGGTGAACTCTGTCTCTTCCTCCCCTGTATCTCATGCATGTATGGGCGTGTGTGAGTATTTCTGTGTGTGAGTGGCAAGCAAATTGTCAAACAACCAAGTTCATAACAGTTGGTATCGGAGCGAAGATTGGACTTGGAGCTCAGATGGTTGAGCGCAACAGGGGCAGCTTCTCTTTCTGGCACTAACTGGCGAGAAGTGCCATGGTGGTGCTTCCTCTTGAGTAAAGATCCAGTGGAAGAGAAGACAAACAAGCGGTGATTGCAGGGCATCAGTTTGCGATTGATCAGGCACCCTGAGCCTGTCTGTGTGCCTGACAGGAAGTGACAAGAACAGGGATATTTCGCCATCCACTTATTGGACCTCAGTTGATGACTGGGATCAGGGTGGCGAATTATATCCTAATCCAGTAATAACTGGGTGGCAGCTTCAATCCCAGTGTAGCACTGAGGGAGGATTGATCACAGGATCACCTCCTGCTAAATTAACCCTACTCTGGGCTAAATTTAGCACCAGCGGCTCATACCTGCAGTGGCGAGATACCTTCAGGAGAGTATTCTCTCGCCACTGAGCCAGATTCAGTGAATCTGAGAGGTGGAGTTGAATCGCCACATCATACTGGAGCGGATCAACAATTTTTAGGAGATCCTGTACGTGGGAAGCTGTGGAAGAGTGTCTGCAAGTGCTGGCGAGACCAGGGTTTGGCAGCCATAGCCAGGGCTTCATCACCCACTGAGTGAAAGACTTCAAGTGAGTGTGTTCCATAGGATTCCCTGAGTAGCGATTAGATTAGTATCAGTAAAAATAGAAATGATGGTTTGTCTGTCAGTAGAGTCACAATCGTGGAATGGTTAGACTGCAAGACAGCCATATCCATCTTCTTCCTCCCTACCCGGACTCATATCTCACTATCTATTGACCTGTTCTGACTCCAAATTGTTCTGGGACTGTATGACAGTATTGCGCTGCATCCTGTGTGATCATACTGTGAATTCTATGTAGGAAAAGTAGGGATACTGTGGATTTGAGTTTTGCGCTGAGTCTATTTATAGTCTGAGCTATCTAGGGTCAGTCACCACTCAAAATTTGTCCGTCAAAATTCAAGTCTGTCGGTTTGGGGTGAATCGCAATTTGATTTCTGCCATTTGTGCTCAAGCGCAAGTCCAGAAACAGTGAATTTGGGTCATTACAGTGAAATCCTGAAATCCGTCATATCTGGGGTTATTTCTGTTGATGTCAACAGTGGCAAAATTTGAGTCTAGGGCTGTTAGGGTATAGGTTACTGCATCGCTACCACTTGCTGTCCTGTTTCAGTCAATTTTTGCCTATCTTCATCAATATTACTAATTTCGGCTATGGAATGCTAGTGACCTCTGGAATGTTGTGAAAGTGCATGTTGCAACTTCAGTGAAAGTTCAGTGTCAGGTATAGGAAATCGTTAGTGCATGATTTTACTAGACATCTAGTCAGCTTGACTACTGACCCCAGTGGCCCTATTCCAACCCTAACTGCTTGTGCCCACTAACCCACATTACTCTGTGAACAGACAGTGCAGCGAATTGTGAGTGTCTGAGGGAGTTGTAAATCGCTGCACCTCCTGCTGTTTTACTTCGTTAATTATTTGTTCTGAGAGGGAAAATGTCGGAAACCGCTGACTCAGGTGCAGGGAAGGTGGAGGTAGTGGTTAAGGATGAGGCCCAAGCCTCACCCTCAACTCCACCTCCCCCTCCTCTGACCCCTGTGCAGCGGCGCAAGAAAGAGATCCAAGAGAAACTGCGAGAGCAACAGGCGCTGCTCGCAGAAGCAGAGAGGCAAGAGGCT